CGGCGGAGGAGGCTCCGGGGCAGCCGCCGGGGTGGTCGTGGGCGCCGGCGGCGGGCGAGGCGCCGGGGGCAGCCGGCAGGGCGGGCAGCCCGGGGCGCAAAGGATGTACAAGCAGTCCATGGCGCAGAGAGCGCGGACCATGGCCCTCTACAACCCCATCCCCGTCCGACAGAGCTGCCTCACGGTCAACCGGTCCCTGTTCCTCTTCAGCGAGGACAGCGTGGTGAGAAAATACGCCAAAAAGATCACCGAATGGCCATATCCTTTGCCCGAGCCCCGCGGCGCCTCCCCCTCCTCGCCGCCTCCCTCTTGCCGGCGGGGAGAGACCGGGGGCTGATGGGAGGTGGGGGGTCTTCCAGGGGCTGCGAGAGGGGGTACCGGGAGGAGTGCGAGCTCCCTGCACCCCACCTGGGGTGATGTGGCGGCTGGGGGCCCTCCCGAGGACCCAGTTCAGAGTGAGGGTTGGGCCTGGGGTCGGCTGGGGCCTTGGCGAGGGCTTCAGAGCCGGTTCTGGGGGTGCGGGGAGGATGAGAGTTCTCTCCAGCCAGCTGGGACCCGGGGCCTGGGGGCTTCTGGTCAGGGCCAGGGGATGCTGGGGGCCTGGGCAGGCTGCCTGGGCCCGTCCCTCGCCCGGAAGGATCAGGAGCCTCGGGGACCTGAAACCCAGTCCCAGCGCCCGGCCTCTCCTGCCTGCCTTCCCCCCCACCAGGGGCCGCGCTCCCAGGCAGGGAACTGGAGGGGCCTGCGGGAGAAGAGCCTGGGCACACCACCCTGTGTGGGCGCCACACTGAGGGGCCACCAGTACCCAGACCACAGACCACCCCCATCGGAGAAGGAAGTGGTGGAATGGGGGGCACTTCACTCTCCCCCTTGTTGGTAGGCCCCTTTCCCTACCACTGAGTCGCCCCATCTTTTGGATGGGAGAGAACAGCTCTCTTCTGCCCTACCTGGGCCCGGGCCTGCAAGACCCAGCCTAGGCTCTGTCCACCAAAAGACAGAGTGTGAGAAAAAGAGATAGCAGGTCCTTCCTAGGGCAGAGGGTCCAGCTGTGGGCTGGATCTGCGGCTCCCACCCAGGGAACCGCCAGGGGACACAAGACTCTCGGCCTCCTGTGGACAGACCATCTCTTGCAGGTAAATGCTTTTCTCTTTTTCTCTACACCTTACCTCTCCCCGCAAAAAAAAAAAAAAAAAAATTAGAAGATCCAGGGTAAGAAGGTGAAGACCCCATTTTTTTTTTTCCACTGTGGTTCTCTCAAAATGCAGATCCCATTGTGTTTCCTTTAAATCGGTGCTTGCTTGAAATAAACCTTGAGGAGTGCTTAACATCTGTTGAGATGTAGGCAGGCAGGGTGGGTAATTAGCTGGGCTTTCTAGCGGTTATCTAAGCATGACCCAGATTCAAAAGGGGGGGGGACTTGCCTGCTTCCCAGGCTGGCTGGCTGGCCACCGTGCCCTGCCCAGATGTGCCCGCTCTTGGCCCGGTCCCCACTCGTGAAAGAAATGAGTGGCCCAGCAGGCCTTGGAGCTTGGCGCCTAGACCATCCTTTCTGTACCCCCTTTGACTGTTGTAGACTAGGCCCTGGGTGGTCCTGCTGCTGCTTTTGGGGGAACACAGTGGTAGATCCACTTTAGGGGGCCTCAAGGTGGAACCTAGTTCTTGGTTTCCGGGTACTGATGTTGCCATGGCGGTTTTGGAGAGTATAGTTTTCTTGTGGTGGGGGGAGAAGGAAGAGGTTCATCAGAAATCCCTTTTGGGTGGTGTACCCCCAGCCACAGTGTCATCTGGAGTGGTGCCCAAGACAGGAGCCTCGGTCTTGGCCTCCTAAGCTCCCCCTTATGGAAAAGGCTGGTCTTCAAGGTGGACATTTCCTTCCCACATCAGGCTTGTTGAAGTGCTCGGATGTCAGGTGGTCTTCTCCCCACCCGCAGGGTACGAGTGTACTACTGTCAGGTAGCTGTGAGGTCCAGGAGGGGTTCACTGGGTTGACAGCTGTCCGTACGTGCGTGGTGGAGATGATTCCCTCCTGGTGCCTGGATGTGAAGTCTTCTAGGGGGAAGGAAGGAGGTGGGGAGTCCTCCGGTGTCCTTAACTCACCCTTTTCCAGCCTGCATCCCGCAGCTCAGAGGATGGGGTAGGGGGATGACAGGGGCCTTTCAGGAGGAATGGTGTGGTGTGGTGTGTGGCGTGGGGATGCAGATGAATGGAGCACATACTGACAACCTCACACTGACTTGCTTTGGCGAACTCTGAAAAGCTTGCTGGCAGCTTGGAGCTGAGTTTGTACCTTTTGCTCTCTGCAGACAGTTTGAGTTCTTTGACCCAGGGTAGCAAGCTGCATGGCACAGTCCTGCTTTGGAAGGGAAGGCCCTCTTCCTTTCATCACCAAGCAGGGCCATCTAGGACTGGGCTTTCTCAGATAAGGGCAAGGGCAATGAATGACCCATGAGGTGGAGAAGAGAATTCAAGCTCAAGTGAGGAGATGGAGGGAGCTTGGTGATAGGCAGTTGAGGAACATCACTAAAGCAAGTTAACCCAAAGCCTGGTGGAAATGCTGAGAAATCAAGGGAACTCAGAGGATGGACTCCTTTATCCCAATACTTCTGCTGTTTCTAATATAAGTGTGTGTGTGTGTGTGTGTGTGTGTGTGTGTGTGTGTGTGTATATGTATCTCATATATGGATTGATTTCTATTTTTATTAACTTTGAGGATGAAATCTACCGTAAGTACAGAACAGATCATAAGTTGGGTCAAGCTTGATAAATTTTTTAGAAAGTCAATACAAACCCATGAAGCCTACATTCTTATCAAGAAATTAAAAGTGGCCCTTTCCCCAGTGTCCCCTCCTGTCTCTTCCCAGTCGCTCATCCTGCCCTCATCCCACCCAAGGGTCGCCGCCCGCCCGATTTCCAACCCCACAGCTCTGTTCTGCTCTCTTGTTTTAGATACATGGAGACACGTAGTATGTTCTTTGGCATCTGTCTCCTTTGGCTCAACATACTGCCTGTGACTTCATCCATGTAGCTTCGAGGATTTGTCTCCGGCTGCTTTTCATGGCAGGGTAGTGTCTTATTGTGGGCCTGGGCCAGCATTTCTTTATTCTTCCGTTCTAGTGTTGAGAGCCACTTGGGTGGTCAGTTAGGAACATTCTTGGGCATGCCTTGGATGAACCGTGGTTGTTTTAGCATTTTCCTTGGGTCTGGACGAGGAGTGGAGTTGCCCCTTTTTCTGAGGTGCCTGTTGGTGGGACTTTTGTTGGGAGATTGCATTTAGCAAGGGTTGGGGGGGGCGGGGGGAGGGCGGATAAGGCAAGTCGCTTCCTCACTTGGGAAGGAGGAGTGAGTGCAGGTTCCTCAGACTTGGCCTTGGGCTAGAAAAGCCTGAGAGTGCTGCTTCAGCTGAGGTGGAGGGTGCAGTCCTGTGTCCCTCACACGCACACATCTTCTGCCTCTGTGATTCCGTCTCTCTGCGCCTCCCTCAGCAACTCAAGCTTGATGCTGCCCAGGAGAACGGGAACTTTTTGCTCATTTTTCTTGTTCTCTTCCTAAGAAAGCCCAGAATGGAAGTCTTGCACGTGTGTGACATTCACGTGGACATGGTTCCTTTTTCCCTCCGTGAGTGGGCGGGTGGCGAGCTGTCCGGGACACACACCTTCTCACGTTCATGTTTTTGTTGAGTGCAAGTTTGAGTGGAAATATGGCCGCGATGGGCTCTGGTGGATTCTAAAGAGCTCAGATCTGTCAGCTCAGTAAGGCACAGCTGTCACCCTTCCTGGTGCTCCTGGTTGGTGGTGCAGGTGGTTTAGTGCTGGGCTACCCACCAACTAAAGGCTGTTCAGACCCCACCCTCACCCTCCTAGAGACACTTGGAAGCGAGGCCTGCAAGAAAGTCCTAGCAAACTGCTTCTAAAAGGGCACGACCATGAAAACGGGGGCGGATTCTCCACACGGCACATGAGTCAGGAGTTGGAATTTCCTTGGTGGCAACTAGGTTTGGTTTTTGAGTTTGTCACCCTTTTGATAGCTTTCCTTGTCCTTCTGATCCTCTACCTAGTACTGAGGTATCCATCCTGCCCCCCCTCCTTGCCCAGGCCAACAGATGTCCTGCTGAAGGTGTGAAGGGCGCTGGAGTTTCGAGAGAATCGTGGACACAGGCCTGTGCGTCTCATGTTGGCTCCTGACCACTGACAGTCCAGTGACACACAGACCTCAGGGAACCTGGTCATGCTCGCTGGTGACCCGCCCAGTCTTTTTTTAATGGAAGATGCTTTTATAAAATGTTGCTATTGGCGTGTGCCATTGAGTTGGAACCCACCCAGAGCTGGCCTTCATAAATGAGTAAAATACTCACTGTGGGACGTGGTGGGAGCCTGGCGAGAAGGTGGCCTCTGTTAGTATTCTCACCCATCTAGAAACAAAGAATATGCTTGGAAGTATGTTATTGTTGTTATGTGCTGTCAAGTCAGAACCGACTCCGCTCACCCCTCCAGCAGATTTGCAGAGGCTGTAAATCACACAGGAGGAGATTGTGGGTTCGAACTGTGTGCAGAAGAGTCCAGGAGTCTCCTAGGTCAGCTTGGCTGGAAGGTCCAGGAAAGCGAAATTCTGGGGAGTGAGTGAGGAGCCGTGGTGGCACAGCGGCAGGAGTACGCAGCTCTAATGAAAAGGGTTATAGTTCGAAGCCACCAGCCACCCCTTAGGAGCCATTGAATCCTCTATCATGATGAAAGCCTTTGATGAGGATTATACAGCCCTGGGAACCCCGAGGGACAGTTTTACTCTGTCCTTTTAGAGTCACTGTGAGTTGCAGTTGGCCTGACAGCAGTGCGTTTGGAGAATTAGCTTGGCTTTTTCCATTGGGATTTTCTTCCATAAGGATATGATCACTCCCCTCCAGTCCCCCCCCATCCAGAGAGAGATGAAAACTGAAGGTTGTTTCTGAGCTCCTGTAGGGAGAAAACCCGATCTGATGTGACCCAGGCTGTTTATAAGCGTTTGGTATGGATTTGGAGACATTTTTGCTGCAGAAATGTTCAATAGGCTAGAATGGACGAAGATGTGGCAGTCCCCATGGGAAGTGGTACAGGATCCGCGTTTAGGCTTCTCAAAACAGAGTACATGGGTCTTTTTAACATGGTGTTTCTCGTCGCACAGGTCTGGGGTGGGGCCTGAGATTCAGCTTTTCAAAAGCAAGCCTCTTGGGATTGCCAGTTCAGCAGCCCAGCTGGCTTCGCTTGAAGTATCCGGGTTATACTGTA